AGCTATTTTAATTTTTTACTGCTGGGATGAAGAATACAGAAATAGATCCAAATATGTATTAGAATTGAAGAAAAGATATATATGGTATTGCAAATCTCTGAGGAAGCATTGTGTGGAAGAGTTGGCCACACCCTTTCATCCCAATCAGAGGATAATTGTTGACTTGAAAGACTTTACTGAAGGCAGGTACCTTTCCCTGGGTATAGTCATTAAGAGCTAATGTAGACCTGTGATGCAGCAGATCTCATGCATACCCAAGAAAAACAGAAGAGAAAGTAGCTGCTTTGCTCTGCAGTAAAATAACATGCACTGATTCATTGTGGGTTTAGACTGTACAGTCTTAAAGGGAAGAAAATAATTTATCTAGGAGTAGATGTTTAGGTCAACCAATAGAGGAACCAAATCAGCTGCCTGGCCACCATTCTCATGGGTGCAAATATTGTCTATAAAACAGGAACTGAAGGTTCTTCCTTCATTGTCTCCCAGGAACTCTCACCCCCGCCCCCCTCTGCACCTATGGGACCATTGGCTGAAACCCAGGGTTGGATGAGACTACCAAACTAGGACTCAGAATCTTATCTGAAGAAAGGAATCCAGGGCCCTTGGGGGAAAGAAGTGGGGCTTTCCTGAGGAAGGGAAAGTGGAGTTTCCCACTTTGAGACTTGGAAGAAGAGAATGCAAGAGGGACAATGAACAAACTATCGTGCTGGAGAACCCAGTTAGAAAGCTGATGGAAAAGCCTCTGAAGTACAAGGTCATTAAGGTCTAAGCGTTCAGCTGCCTACCTTGTGGAACTTGAGTAAGTGAGATTTAGCATGTTTGATTCTCCTATGTAGTGAATCCCCCTGGAAATGTCCTAATCTCTTGCTAAAGGAACATGTGCTTTCTGATATGTTGGTCTTGTGAACACTAAAGAGACAGAGTGGCAGTGGAAGTGTCTGTTCTTGTCATCTCCTCCTGGCCGCCAGTGAAGATGGAAGGTCATCCTAGTGTAGACTGTGACTCTGAGCTCCAGGTGGTCATTGCAGTATCAGAGGATGACACAGAGCCAGCTCCTGAAAGTTACATGGCACCAAAGGAATGTCCTGGAGGGAAATGAAAGATCAAATCTTCTGCTGTGTTCTGTAATTTAAAGAATGCTGTTCCCAGATAGGAGATGAGGGCATCCAGAAATCTCCTGAGCTATTATTTAATAAATGATGTTGGAATAATTAGAATATGTTAAGATTCTAGGACATACCAAAACCAAAAATTAAGTCCACATGGATTGAATTGTTAACTTTAAAAAAATATAGCATGTAAAAATGAAACTATTAAATGTAGGGTAAAATATAGGAGGTCCCCACCCCCACCCCCCACCGCTCCCAATAATTTTGGGGCATTCCAAAGCAAGATATGAAAACCAGATGTTATAAAAGGAAGAAATGTCAGACTAAATCACACAGAAATTAAGAAAAGATACCCTAAATACAGTCAAGATACAGGGAACACACACCACCAGGAGAAAATACTTGTAATATATATTTATAAAAATACTTGTAGCCCTCGCTGGTTTGACTCAGTGGATAGAGCATCAGCCTGTGGACTGAAGTGTCCAGGATTGATTCCAGTCAAGGGCACATGCCCAGGTTGCAGGCTCAATCCCCAGTAGGAGGCATGCAGGAGGCAGCTGATCAATGATTCTCATCATTGATGTTTCTATCTCTCCCTCTGCCTTTCTCTCTGAAATCAATAATTTAAAAAAAGTTAAATATATATATATATATAATCACCAACAAAATAATAAGGAAAGAAAAATAATCCAATAGAAAAATAATCAAAGGATGTAACTAAGGACTTCAGAGAAGAAAGAAATGGTCAATAAGCATATTTTAAAAAACAACTTAAGTCTTTATAATATTTAAAGGAATTCACATTAAGGCAGAGATGGGGAACCTTTTTTTCTGCCAAGGGCCATTTGGATATTTATAACATCATTTGAGGGATATAAACTTATCAACTTAAAAATTACCCTGCTATATTTGGTCAAACATTTAATTAACTCACCCCTAATGCCTTGGCAGGGCCAGACCAAATGATTCCTCTGGCCTTATACGGCTCATTAGCTGGACATTCCCCACCCCTGCATTAAGGTATCAACATGATATTTTTCACTTACAGGTAAAAATACAACGGTTTATATAAATATAGAACAACAGTCTGAAAGAATGTATACCAAACTATGGACAGTGCTTAATTTTGAGGGAGTATAATTGGGGAAGCAGAGCAGGGGGTGTTTTTTTTTTAAAAAAACACCTGAGGATATTTTTTCATTGGCTTGAGATGTGAGAGTAGATAAAAACTGATCTGATTATTTTAACATACATTTTGTGACTTTGAAAATTAAAATAAACAAAACTGTTCCACACCTCCTGAAAGTGGAAAATTTATGTTTACAATTGCTTTAAAAAGAATTTAACTATACAGAAAAACAGCCCCAAAGTAAAAGTCACCCATTATTCTACCACTTGAAAAATTTATATAAAGTAACAAAATAAAAGACATCCCCGCCCTGGCTCAGTGGTAGAGCATCGGTCTGCACACCAATTTTTATGCACACTATTTGTCCTTGTACTGAATTCATAGATATCTGCAATTATACATTTTCCACAACATACTTCTTTTTGGTGATTCCTCCCCCCCCACCCCAAAAAAAAGAAAAGAAAGGAAAATTAAGGTGCTATAGGTATATATTATCCTTTTAAAAATATGTTCTTACTGATTTTAGAGTAAGAGGAAGGGGGAGGGAGAAAGAAAGAAACATCAATCCATTGCCCCTGGTATGCATCCCGACCAAGAATTGAACCAGAGACCTTCGTTGCACAGCACGACACCCAACCAACTGAACCATACCGGGCAGGGAAGGATTAAATTATTTTAATACATTATTGTTTTCACGAAAGTTCTTGGGTCTGGTGACCAAGATAATGGACAATCAGGCATCACTTTGGGAAGCAATTTTCAGAAATTTCAAAAGAAAATGTGTGACTTTTTTTGTTTGTTTGTTTTTCCATTGATTTTTAGAGAGAGTAGAAGAGAGGGGGAAAGACAGAGAAATATCAATGTGAGAGAAACATCGATTGGTAGCCTCCTGCATGAGCCCTGACCAGAGCCAGGGCCTGAGGAGCCTGCAACCAAGGTACGTGCCCTTGACTGGAATTGCGGCCGATAGGCTGATGCTCTATCCACTGAGCCAAATCAGCTAGGGCTGTTTTATGACTTTTGGACCAGCCAGTTGAAATGTTCTCTTATAGTTTGAGTCTTGATTCTGAATTCTTTCTTAGCTAGAACTCAAGTACCAAAGTTGCTGAAACCATGTCTGACCCCACAGGTCTAAGACCTGGTGCCATTACCTCACCCTACCTCCCAAACCCCCCTACCCCCACCCCACCCCCATCTCCAACAGAAACAATGTTTGAACAGTTAATGCCTGAAAAACTTCCCAAACTGATGAAGACATTAAGTCACAGATTCAAGAAACTCTATGACCCCTAAGGTGGGGTAAGTATAAAGAAATCCATACCTAGCCATATCAGCTGTCAGTCTAATTGTCCCTTTGAACTTAATATGCCCCTTTTCCCCCTCTAGCTGCCTGTAAATAACCAACTCTCCAAATGCTCTTAGAACAAACTTTACTGTTTTGCTGGTTCTGTCACTAATGGGTTGAATAACTTTGACCCTATGTTTATTTTATATTTGTATGTCACGTTTTTAACTTTTTGAAAAGTATACTTTAAAAAAATATATATTTTATTGATTTTTTACAGAGAGGAAGGGACAGGGATAGAGAGTTAGAAACATTGATGAGAGAGAAACATCAACCAGCTGCCTCCTGCACACTCCCCACTGGGTATGTGCCCACAACCAAGGTACATGCCCTTGACAGGAATCGAACCCGGGACCCTTGAGTCTGCAGGCTGATGCTCTATCCACTGAGCCAAACCGGTCAGGGGTTGAAAAGTATACTTTTGAATATATGTGAAACAAAGAATTCATGAAACAATATTTTTTCTTCTTACAATATTTTCTGTATTATTTTCCCCCCCATCTTACTGAAAAGTAATTCTGCTTACACTCACTAATCTGATCTCAACCTGCAGTTTGAAAAACTGCCTTAGCAAACTTAGGGCCGGTGAGGGGGAGGGGCAAGAGGGGGAATGGGTAGAATTGCATTTTAAAAACCTCTTTACATTTGTTGGTCTGCTTGGCTTCCCCATCCAGGAATCGCATGCCCTCAGACACTGGGCCTTTTTGTTTTGTTTTGTGTTCTCTTGTCTCTCAGCGCTAGGACTGCGGGATCAATTGGGGGTGGGGGTGGAGGGGATGCCTTAGGAAAAGCCCCTCAGCTCGTTAAATCTCAGCGGCGGGTTCCTGGGGGTGATGAACCCGCAAGTCAGGCGAGGGCCCGTTTCACTGGATGTGCCCCCGCCCCGCCCCCCTAACCCCCACGCGTCCGGGCCTCTGGAAGCCTCGGGGATTTCCGAGAACTTCGGGCGCTGTTGCTCTGAGTTCGGACCAAGCGAACTTCAAGTTCTCCTTTAGAGTTCTCGGAAGTGCGATGCGGGGAGTCACGGAAGAGGCGGCCATGGTCAGAGCTCTCCGGGTCTCCCTAGCCTAGGTCCTGTGCATCTCCTGCCACAGTGTTAGCTGGTCCCGCCCCCGGGCTGGGCCGGGAGGCTTGCAGTTGTGGAAGGCGGCTTCTGTGTTCCCGTTGGAGGCACTGAACTAGGTAAAGTGAACATTGCCCTTGAACCCGCCCATCCTGATCTATCTCTGGGCGGGCTCCAGGCGCTCGGCACTCGCGACCCACAGGCGCGACTGCGTGAGCTATGAATCGCATTGCT